TTATTGCTATAACAGAGACCTGGCTCAATCTGAAAGATAGAGAGATGCCCTCTGAATGTCACATACAAGGCTATAAATTATTCCACACTGACAGGGTCAACAGGAAAGGGTGGTGGAGTAGCGATGTATGTCAGAGACAATTTAAATTGTTGTGTTAGACAAGATATTAAATTAGAAGCGTCAGCCACTGAATCTGTTTGGTTACAGCTTCTCGAGGGCCGAGAAAAACTAATTTTGGGTGTGATTTACAGGGCCCCAAATCTTGATAGGGAGTGCAGTAAACTTCTATGGGACGAAATTCGTAAGGCATCTACATACGAAAATGTTGTGCTAATGGGAGATTTCAACTATAGACAGATTGACTGGAGCAATTTGACAGGAAATTTAGAGTCGGGTGACTTTCTTGATACGATCCAGGATTGCTTTTTAAAACAGTTTGTGACAGAGCCAACTAGGGGAAATAACCTCCTTGACTTGGTTCTTGCCCGTAGGGAAACACTAATTAATAATCTTGAGGTTAATGATGAGCTTGGGGAGAGTGATCACAAATCACTCAGTTTTAACATATCATGGAATTCCCCTAATAATGGCAATCTAGTCTCCGTCCCTGACTTTCGCTTGGCTGATTTCATAGGACTGAAAAATTACTTAGGTGGGCTGAACTGGAATGACCTGACTAAGGGTCAGGTAGGTGGTGATGGTTCCCGATATGATGCTTTCCAGGGCATAGTTCTAGCTGGCTCAGTCAAATTATGTTCCAAATAGGGAAATCAGATCAAACAAAAATGATCCTAAATGGATGAACAATAGATTAAAATATCTGATTGGTCAAAAGAGAGGCATATATAGGCAAATCAAAAGAGGAGAGGGGCAATTAAGAAATCGATATATTCAGTTAAAGAGAGAAATAAAAAAAGGGAATTAGAAAAGCAAAAAGAGATTATGAGGTTTAAAGTTGCAAGAGAATCGAAGACTAACCCAAAAGGATTCTTTCAGGTATACAGAAGTAAGATCAGGGACAAGATAGGCCCACTCAAAAGTTCCTCGGGTCAGCTCACTGACAGTGATAAGGAAATGTGTAGAATTTTTAACACATACTTCCTCTCAGTTTTTACACAGGAGGATACCAGCGATATTCCAGTAATGATAAATTTTTGTAGAACAGGACGATAATAAACTGTGCACTATTAGGGTCACAAGTGACATGGTCCTTAGGCAAATAGATAAATTAAAACCTAACAAATCCCCAGGCCCTGATGAACTGTATGCAAGGGTTCTAAAGGAATGTAAAGAGGAGCTTAGGGACACCTTTGGCTAATCTTTTCAACATATCACTACAAACTGGCATGGTGCCGGATAAGTGGAAAATGGCAAATGTGATACCTATTTTCAAAACAGGTGACAGGTCCTTAGCTTCGAACTATAGACCAATAAGCCTAACCTCCATAGTGGGAAAATTTATGGAATCAATAATTGCCGAGGCAGTTCGTAGCCACCTTGAAAAGCATAAATTAATCAACGAATCTCAGCATGGTTTTACAAAGGGGCGTTCCTGCCCTTACGAATTTATTAACTTTTTTCACTAAGGTATTTGAGGAGGTAGATCATGGTAATGAATATGATATTGTGTATATGGACTTCAGTAAGGCTTTTGACAGGGTCCCACATCAGAGACTATTGAGGAAAATTAAAGCACATGGAATAGGAGGAGAAATTTTTTCCTGGATAGAGGCATGGTTGACAAATAGGCAGCAGAGAGTTTGCATAAATGGGGAGAAATCAGAGTGGGGAAGCGTCACGAGCGGTGTTCCACAGGGGTCAGTGTTGGGCCCCCTGCTGTTCACAATCTACATAAACGACATAGATGAGGGCATAAAGAGCGACATCGGCAAGTTTGCCGATGACACACAAAATAGGCCGTCGAATTCATTCTGACGAGGACATTCGAGCACTCCAGGAAGATTTGAATAGACTGATGCAGTGGTCGGAGAAGTGGCAGATGCAGTTTAATATAGACAAATGCAAAGTTCTAAATGTTGGACAGGACAATAACCATGCCACATATAAACTAAATAATGTAGATCTTAATATTACGGATTGCGAAAAAGATTTAGGAGTTCTGGTTAGCAGTAATCTGAAACCAAGACAACAGTGCATAAGTGTTCGCAATAAAGCTAATAGAATCCTTGGCTTCATATCAAGAAGCATAAAAAATAGGAGTCCTCAGGTTGTTCTTCAACTCTATACATCCTTGGTTAGGCCTCATTTAGATTATGCTGCACAGTTTTGGTCACACTGTTTACAGAATGGATATAAATTCTCTGGAAAATGTACAAAGGAGGATGACAAGATGATCCAGTGATCAGAAACCTTCCCTATGAGGGATAGACTAAGGGCCCTGAAACTGCATCTCTTGAAAGACGTAGAATTAGGGGGGATATGATTGAGGTGTATAAGTGGAAGACAGGAATAAATAAAGGGGGTTGTAAATAGTGTGTGAAAATTCTAGCCTAGACAGGATCGCAGCAATGGTTTTAAGTGTGGAAAATTCAGATTCAGGAAGGATTATGAAAGTAACTGTTTGGTAATAGAGTTGTGGAGAGTGGAAAAAACTCCGAAGTAACCGTTATAGAGGCCAGAAACGTTGTGTAGCTTTAAAAATAGGTTGGATAAATACGATGAGTAGATGTGGTGGTGTGAGTTAACCTGATATGCTTGTGTAACAGGTCGGTTTGCCGTTGTTCCTACCTTAAGTCAATGTGACCTGACCTGTCTAGGTTGGTGCTTTGGCTTAAGCCGGTAGAGACTTGACTGCCTCGAATGGCAGTAGGCCTTCTGCAGTGGTTCTTGTTCTTAGTTCTTCTTATGTTCTTAACTAATACGTCCTCAAGCAGCAATGTTATTTATGTTATATATCACATATGTTATATTTGTATATAATTCCGGAAGTACTGATGTATTGATGTAGCTAGGTATGCCTACCCCATACCTGTTTCTCATGACTACCGCTAGGGTAGCTGTCTGTAGACCTGTGGCTGGCGCCTGGCGGCCACAGGTCTACGGACACAACTTCCCTAGTGGTAGTCATGGGAAACAGGTATGGGGTAGGCATACACCGCTGCATCACTCCATGGTCTGGTCTAAACTGAAGAAACAGTTCAGGTATAAAAGCTATTAAGCAACGCACGGGACGAAAGGAAAAGTGCATTCTAAATGTACGAAGTTTGTAACATTTTTCTGCTATATTATATATTTACTAAGAAGTAAAGATCAGTAATCTTGCCGGAGTTCGAGACGTTTGACTTAATTTACACTCGAAGTATCAGGAACTACCATGCATGTTTCTTGTACCGAATTTTTAAAACGAATGTTTGAAAAACATTATTGTGCCGCATGTTACTGATTATATGTACACGAATTAGTGAGTACAATTATGACAATTCTATGTTTGTGATAATTAAGAGCTGTGATTTTAAAATTATACTACACAAATTTTTGAAAGTCAGTGTATCTTCCTACAGCATAACCTCGGAGTGGTAAATATGATATAAACTGCATTTTCTTTTACGACTCTTGATTATCTTCAGTTTATGTTTAGCTCAAAGTACAAAACAGTTACAATACATGATTTAAAAAGCATATTATTATTTAGGTGGACTGGTGGCTAAAGCTCCCGCTTCACACACGGAGGGCCCGGGTTCGATTCCCGGCGGGTGGAAACATTCGACACGTTTCCTTACACCTGTTGTCCTGTTCACCTAGCAGCAAATAGGTACCTGGGTGTTAGTCGACTGGTGTGGGTCGCATCCTGGAGGACAAGATTAAGGACCCCAATGGAAATAAGTTAGACAGTCCTCGATGACGCACCGACTTCCTTGGGTTATCCTGGGTGGCTAACCCTCCGGGGTTAAAAATCCGAACGAAATCTTATCTTAGGTCGGAAACTTTTTTTTACAGTATTCTTAGAGATAATCTCTTCCGTATCTTGTTTCCTCCATTGTGTGTGCTAACTCAAGTCTACATAACCCCATGACCAAAGCGCGTAACTATTCGTTTATCTTGCGTTCCTTTGGCACTGACGATCGAGGAAACACATTTTCTGTCTCTTCTTGAATTAAATACAAATATTAATAGGTGGCGTCGTTCTTATTTGTAATCAGATACCTTGAGCAAACTGTTTAATTTACGTTCGTGAAAAAAAAGTCCCGTCAGGAATGTTATGGCATAAGGGTCATACAACGCTTGGGGAATGGTCCCCTCAAGGAAGGTTCCTTGATGTTGGTGAGGGGCTCTTGATTTAGGGAATTGGATCTGTGCTCCAGTTCCCCGAATTAAGCCTGAATGCCTTCCACATCCCCCCACCCAGGCGCTGTATAATCCTCCGGGTTTAGCGCTTCCCCTTGATTATAATAATAATAATTGGGGAATGGTTAGTTGAATATCTTTATTATGCACCCCATACCCATTCTATGGGCGGTAATCAAAAGATTGCAGAAGCACATAATAGGTCCAGGGACTGGGCCGCAAAGTTTTCATAATTAAACGAGTTAATCGTAATTAACTATTTACATGTTTATATCTTGTTACAATTGTAGTTAGTTATGCAGACATGAATAAGGTCACAAAATGTTACAAAAATATTACCTTATACTTTAGCGAGGTATGCTTGTAAAAAAAAACTAGTTATGAGTTATTTACAGTGGGTAAATAACACATACGGGAGGAAATAAGGCTTGATCCAAGGAGGGGAAGGGTAGCTTCAATTCCTTGGATCAAAAGCACTTCACTAGCATCAAGACACTCCCTTTGAAGGAGAAAGTACTTTGAGGATAATATGCCAAGAAGATACGTCACGATACACTTCTTAAGAATCGAACATACTTTATCTTAATGACATAACAAGGGAAAGGGATTAAAGCATAGCGTTTTCCTATGTTGCGTCATCCATTCTGCAAGTACTACTGGAAATATGAAGTGAGGGAGCGGAGTAGAGAACCTACCAGCGTTCCAGAGAGAAAGCGGGTCACTGTGATAGAGGTGGCGAGGACCCAGGCCATGTAACCCAGCAAGAAGCATCCCACCAGCTGAAATGTAAACAAAAAATAAAATACATTAAATGTCTCTCAAATGAAACTATTAACAAATTATACTACTGATTACACATACACACATACAGCAGTGCATCAGGGAATGCCTGTCAGGAAGACAATAGCGAGTCATGGTACGTGGCGAGGTGTCAGAGTGGGTGCATGTGACGAGCGGGGTTCCACAGAGGTCAGTCTTAGGACCGGTTCTGTTTCTGGTATTTGTGAACGACATGACGGAAGGAATAGACTCCGAAGTGTCCCTGTTTGCAGATGATGTGAAATTGATGAGAAGAATTCAATCGAACGAGGACCAGGCAGACCTACAAAGGGATCTGGACAGGCTGCAGGCTTGGTCCAGCAAATGGCTCCTTAACTTCAACTCCACCAGGTGCAAAGTCGTGAAGACTGGGGAAGAACAAAGAATACCGCAAACGGAGTACAGTCAAGGGAGGCCATAGAATTCAAACCTTACTCAAGGAAAAGGACCTTGGGGCGAGTATGATATCGAGCACATCTGAGGCGCACATCAATCAAATAACTGCTGCAGCATATGGGCACCTAGCATTCCGACATCTCAGTAAGGAATCGTTCAGGACCCTGTACACCGTGTACGTCAGGCCCATATTGGAGTATGCAGCACCAGTTTAGAACCCACAACTGGCCAAGCAGGTTAGGAAATTAGAGAAAGTGAAAAGGATTACAACGAGACTAGTCCCAGAGCTAAGGGGCATGTCCTACGAGGAGAGGTTAAAGGAAATCGACCTGACGACACTGGAAGACAGGAGTGATAGGGAGGATATGATAACATATAAAATACTGAGAGAAATCGACAAGGTGGACAGAGACAGGATGTTCCAGAGATGGAACACAACAACAATGGGTCTCAATTGAAAGATGAGGGCTCAGATGAGTCACAGGGATGTTAGGAAGTATTTCTTCAGTTACAGAGTTTTCAGGACGTGGAACAGTCTGAAAAGTGATGTAGAGGAGGCAAGATCCATACATAGCTTTAAGAAGAGGTATGATAAAGCTCATGGAGCAAGGAAAGTGACGTATTAGCGACCAGGATTTCCCATCCCTGAAACCGTGCTGGCTGTCGTTGATAAGCTCATTCCTTTCTAGGTGCTCTACCACTCTTCTGCTAATCTTCTCCATGACCTTGCATAGTATACATGTCAGTGACACTGGTCTGTAGTTTAATGCTTCGTGCGTGTCTCCTTTTGCTTGTGTGTGTGTGTGCTTGTGTGTATACTCACCTAATTGTGGTTGCAGGGGTCGAGACTCAGCTCCTGGCCCCGCCTCTTCACTGACCGCTACTGGGTCCTCCCTCTCTCTGCTCCACGAGCTTTATCATACCTCGTCTTAAAACTATGTATAGTTCCTGCCTCCACTACATCGCTTGCCAGACTATTCCACTTCCTAACAACTCTATGACTAAAGAAATACTTCCTAACATCCTTTTGACTCATCTGAGTCTTCAGCTTCCAATTGTGACCCCTTGTTTCTGTGTCCCATCTCTGCAACATCCTGTCTGTCCACCTTATCTATTCCACTCAGTATTTTGAATGTCGTTATCATATCTTCCCTGACCCTCCTGTCCTCCAGTGTCGTCAGACCGATTTCTCTTAACCTTTCTTCTTAGGACATTCCCCTTAGCTCTGGAACTAGCCTTGTTGTAAACCTTTGAACTTTCTCTAATTTCTTGACGTGTTTGACCAGGTGTGGGTTCCAAACTGGTGCTGCGTACTCCAGTATGGGACCGACGTACACAGTGTACAAAGTCTTGAACGATTCCTTGCTGAGGTACCGGAACGCTATTCTCAGGTTTGCCAAGCGCCCATATGCCGCAGCAGTTATCTGGTTAATGTGTGCTTCTGGCGATGTATTCGGTATTATACTCACTCCTAGGTCTTTCTCCTTGAGTGAGGTTTGCAGCCTTTGGCCTCCTAGCCTATACTCTGTCTGCGGTCGTCTTTGCCCTTCTCCGATCTTCATGACTTTGCATTTGGCGGGGTTAAATTCTAGGAGCCAGTTGCTGGACCACGCATCCAGCCTGTCCAGGTCTCTTTGTAGACCTGTGTGTGTGTGTGTGTGTGTCTGTGTGTGTGTGTGTGTGTGAAAGTTAGACAGATGAGTCACAGTGATATTACAGAAGTATTCCTTAAGCCTGAAGGTGACCAGTAAGTGGAATGACCTGAAGGAAGCCGTAGCATAGTTTAAGAGTAAGTATGACAAAGTCCACGTGGATAGGGAGTAATTCCATCAAGTGGCAAAAGTCAGGGTTCTGAGTTGAGACTCGACCCTTATAACCATAGATGAACATACATACATTAGGATGAGCGAGTGTTACCAGATGAAAACCCTTTAATTAAGCTCTTGCGGAGCTGAATTTTATGTGCCTAAATTTAACACTAAAAGTTGCTTCCATTAAACTGTTCTCGTTCCACTAATCACACTCCAAACCATATCCAGAATTCGTTGTAAGTTATACTCTGTAATGTAAATTCTGGCTAAAGGGTAAATTTTCTTGCTATTATATTACACCGAAAAACAAAACTGTTGAGTTTTTAGGACACTCAGACTGCTCAAACCTCGACAAAGATGGTAGCCCAGCGTCGGGAAAGAAAAGCATAATAACCTTCTCACTCCCCTCCCCCATTATGGTAGGATGACCCAGTGCATGGCGGTGAAGAGTCCGTCACCAGAGTTAAGTGACCCAGCATCTGAGATGAAAGATGGAAAGGGAGAACTCAGGAGCCGAAACTCAACATATGCATACACATGTAGGTGAGTTTAGGGTAGTCAGGGCGAAGACAAATTTGGGGTAAGAACAAGGAGGCGCAAAAAGTTTTAACCTTCTAGAAAAGAAAATATACACCGAAGCGTTTATTATTCAATGTATGTACCCTGAAAGTTTACTTTAATACCTATCTTTGGGGCTGAAGTATCACTGGTAGTGTGCAGGTGACATGCGGTCTTAATGGCTTAGAACCAACTATGAATTTGACTGAAAGCGCTGAGGGGTCAGGAGCTGTAATTTGACCCTCGCCGCCTCCACTCAATGAGTAAAGATATACACACTGGACGACTGACGGTTAGAGGATCGATCCGTACAGAAACACACGAGAGTAAATATACTCAAAGTTAGTACACGCTTGTGCACACACAAAGCACCTACCCAACTTAACTGTAACAAGGACTAATTGCTCAATCTGCCAAGACAATTTACACAGACGAAAAGCTAGTCAAGTATTGATGAAATTGTTATCTATCGTGATCCATGTCAGTGACACTACTGACACATCGTTTTATAACTAATTCACAAATTTATATCAGAAAATTAGAGGAAGGTTCGGCTCATCTTGGACAATTGAGAAGTCGCTTCTTTAAAATGATCCTGGACAAACTAATTGCAAATTTTAACTATATATGACACGCACATAATTACATATATATATATGTGTGTCATATATAGTTAAAATTTGTAACTAGTCACTCCAGGATCATTTTATATGACTGTTATAATCTCATGATTTTCCAACCGTTTTAAAAAGATCCTATTTTCTTAAGTCATTAGCTAGGTTGGTCAAATATTAACAGATTCGCTTCTTGTTGTGCAAAGGTAAATTTTGCAAAACAGTGCACAACAGTAAGTCTCCATGTTACAACTTTCTCTTCGTTCTTATATCCAACAACAATAAAAAACAGTTACAAGAAAATTTACGTTCGAATATGCCCCTAGAGGTAACTTTAAAACTTTCGTTAAAACTTTCCCCAACAGATGTCGCCAGAGGTGTCAAGAGTGACTGGTGAAACTAACATTTGGTAGGGCAGGACATCTAGTTAGTCCCCCTGAGCATTGGTGTCCCCACCCACGCTAAGTTGGAAGATGAGCTGAGATTGACTAGTTATAAGCAAATTAGATGGACTAGGCAGCACGCACACATGTGAGCTCCAGAAAACGGATATGTATTTAAAAGAGGCTGTTAACATATCTCACTGCGTATATATAAGTAGCACCACTCACTCCCGTAAGACCGCTATAAGATACCGCTACTAAACTAAGAATTTAGCCAAAATTACAGAGCTGTTACCTCACACGTGACTAGTGTGATTTATACTACTACTACTAATAATAATAACTCTCCTAGAACGATTACTTACGGGTTACGCAAGTTGGGGAGAGTTGTAGGGCTATGGGAGTGATTCAAGAATAATAATAATATTGACATCAACGGCATACTGCAAAGAAAGCCCCTTTGTGAAAGATAAGCAATAAAGCCTCCACCAACCACAGTCATTCGAGTAGCTTTTTTTAATAAGGTTTGTTCCAGCAAGAAGTTTCGACCTTCGTTGCCCTTATCTGCACCCTATACAGTTTATCTTCGTCTTATGTTTATTTGGGGTACCCAAACTGGACACCATTTTCAAGGTGATGTCTGAATGAGTATATTCATTGTTTTTATCTTTTATACTCTTAATTTGAAGTTATGAAACTTCGCATTCTTGATAATTTTGAGTTCTCGTACATAGACACTATTGCACTTGGGGCACTGGTACTGATCATTTCAAGATCCTTCTCTTTTGTTATGCTTAGCGAGTTTTTAACCATGTCTGGCGGTGTTATAACCAAAGTACATTACGTATTTTATAATTTTCAAAAGTGAAATTATCATTCCCGACTCCGACAGGAAATCCAGCCATGGATAATGCGTTTCCCTAATTTTTCTATTTGCAACTTTGCGATTTTTAATCCCGTTTTGAGACTACTTATTTAAATTTAAAAAAACTGGCCCAAGGACCTATCCTTACGGAACTCATTACAAATCATGCATTTTTTCGTTCAAAACCACTTGGTGTTTCTTATAGGTTGAACCAATCGTTGATATATGCCTGAAGAGAAATAGAGAGAGAGAGAGAGAGAGGGGGGGGGGGCAGCCTCACTTGAGGTTGTCAAATGCGTCACCCAGAACGGAGCATATCAGTGTGAGGCAGGC